TCATGTCTCTTAAAAAATCTTTTCTCTCTTAGGATCCGACATCTGACCCTTTTATACCTCTGTGTGCTATTCTAGAATGAATGGGCACATTACCTATTGTCCAGTGTCTGAGTGCTTTCTCTAAAGTCCCACAGATGTGGTGTAAATGCTGCTTGTCTGTTTTGTCCTGTTTGCATGGAAAGATCCTTACAAAGGTCACAATTCTGGAAGAAGATATAGCTGCTGATTTGTTCTAAATGTTCGGCACTCCATAACCTCTCCACACCTGCTACCCCAGCTAAAGATCTGAAGATATTTGCCCTGAAGATTCACAATGCCAGCCTTTGGGCCAAAAGGAAACAGGCCACACTGTAAAAGGCTCCATCTTCACAGCAGTGAGGACATGAATTTCTCTGTTGTGCTTGACTCTGGCCAGAGGCTCTTTGCACCAGTAGGATGACATTATTCCAGTCTGCAACCGTGTACCCAGTCTCTGTGACTATGGCTTCTGCTCATGTTCCTCGTTTGCTCTATAGTTTCCTGAGGATGCTGGAGCCCTGCTCTGAGCGATAGTCTGCTTGGTTGGGCACTGACAACCTGCCCATTGCCATCTGCTGGCTAATGTCCTATTTTAACCGGTATGAGGGCACCCCTGGAATCAGGAAGCTGCCACCTGCCCTGAGCACAGCTGCCTTCTAACTGTTGCTGCAGGGCCTTCATTCACTTGTCTGGGTCAATCAGATCAGATATGTGGAAGCTACACTACTGTCACCTCAGGGGGAGCCCTACAGCCAGGTGAGTCCTACAGCCAGGTGAGTCCTACTTCACTCTCATCATATATTCTTGATACTCCTAGTTTATTCTTCTTTTGAAAATTCTACTCCAGATTACAAAAGCTGCACAATTCTCACCATCACTAGGAACATGAAACACTCACAGTCACTCTCCAGAATTTTCAACATTGATTTGATTGTTTTGTCCATCAGGCAATAAAGGCATGGCTCTAGGGTCTATTAACTGCTTAGGGCATAGAAAAAAAGTTTAGCTCGGACCAAAAGTATTTCCAAAACAAAATAACACATTCTAACATAAAAATAATTTCATAAGCAAAAGTCTTTAAAAATGTTTTATATCCAAAACCCTTTATTTAGTATGAAATGTGGATGCATTTTGTCATGCTACAGGGTGGTGAGCAAGTCTTGGCAGCCCCACCCTCACCACATTTCCCAAACTCACCCTTGCTCTCAGTCCCTGTATGGCTGCCACCAAATTGGTACAGTAAACCATGGTGGCCCTGGGTTTTAACTATGGGGCCTGTGAGCACTCCAACATTGGTTGAATGAATAGATGAGTTAATGAATAAATTAAACAATGCACAAATCCTTCAATAGAAATGGATTCAGAGATTTCTACAAATTATAAAAAGAGGGAAATGGGGAGTTGTTTAATGGGTACAGAGTTCCAGTTCTTCAAAAAGAAAAACTTCTGGGGAGTGATAGCACAACAATGTGAATATACTTAGCATTACTAAACTGCCTACTTAGAAATCGTTTAGACACTTGAGCTTAAGTTTTATGTTATGCATTTTTAAAAACGACAATAAGCAATTTTCAAAAATTAAGCCAAATTTTGAAATCAAATTATTTGAAAAACTGAAATAAAATTTACAGAACAATTCAGAACGCACTTAGGATACCCATCTGAATCACACCATGGCCACTTGTTCAATCTTTATCACTGTGGCCCTGACTTCTTTAGTCTTATTCCTATTTTCATGCATTATTTATTGTTTATTCTGGAACTTATTTCGGGGAGGGCAGTAATTGACCAATCTAATTATTTGATGTACTAGACATTTTGATGACCCAATTATAAACACAAAATAAAAGCAATTTTTATTCTGTTCAATTGGGGGGTATGGTTATTCCCATAGTAGAGAACAGACAAGAGCAAATTATATTTTCGTGTATACCTTTCAGGACTTCTCATAATTGGCATATCATGAAAGTAAAACAGCCCCTTGTCTGCATAGAGCGGTGGCTCCCAGCAAGCTCTGAAGCAGTTGATTGGTTAATACTAGTTTCGCCACTAACCAACTTAGCCTCTTTGTGCCACAGTTTCCTCAGCCTGAAATGAAGATGATTACTTTAAAAAGTTTTAAAAAGTAAGGATCTCACCTGTGAAGTGAGCTTACGCTTTTTAAAAGCTTAAGCAAGTATTTTACTTCGAATTTTACCTAAGAAGAATGTATCCTTTTTTTTTTTTTTTTGATTTTTAAAAA